AAAAAACAAACAAAATGGAGAGATCGTTTAAGCTATCGGCTATGTACCAATGGGGCTATAAAAATCAATAAAATGGAAAGTTAGTGCTGTAAAATTTAGTGTTAGAGCTAACTTAAACTGTCTGGACTAAATTTTATAAAGAATACACGTAATTTTAAGCTCGATAATACGAAATTCGATCGCAAATAATATACGCACCTGAACTGCATTTTAACCAACGTATTATTACTTGCTTATAGCTTTACGTCACATTGTTCTTCGTGTTTTTTCCACACTATACGACAGTCTTCAAAATATGGCACGGCTATGGCACATTTCTCGATTGATAATAATGGTTCTAAGATGGCAAACCAACAGGAAGTAACCGTCATAACCGTCACGTGACCAACCAAAATTATAAAGACCTCACGTGACCAGCCGGGTCCAAATAGTTATTTAATGCTATAGGTACCCGTGTACCTATAGCTACTTCGTTTAAGTATATAAATAATAAAGTGTTCTAATCCATTTTGTTTCATTTTAATGCAGTAAAAAAAATTTGATAAAATTATTTAAACTAAAAATATAATAAAAATTATTAACAAAATATTCTACTTCTCTTAAAAAATTATTTTACTATTAAATAATTTTTAAACTATAATTTCTACTATATAGAATCTATTCCAAACCTAATTACTGATCTAAGTAAACATGGCGGCGCCCACTAAATCTAAGGTTTTGTCATTGTATAAGCAACTTCTTAAAGAAGGAAACAAATTAACTGACTACAACTTCAGGTAATCTAAATCATACAATGCTTTTTGATCGCCTTTAGATTAGCATGGTAATTCAATACTCAGTTTCTAGGTTAGTTCTAATCTAAAGGTAGGGACTTAGACGTTGATAAGAAAATTTAAACTTTTTGTAAAAATAAACCAGTGGCATAGTTGAATAGAGTAGATACTTTGGTCAAAAATGTAAACATTTTTTAAAAATAAACCAATGGCACAGTTGAATAGAGCTAATTTTAAACAGAATTATAACACCAAAATCATATTTTTAGCTGTTGTAGTTTTAAAGTTATGAATTTTTAAAGTACGACTTGGTTTGTCCTTTTTTAACATGGACTGCATCTCCACATTCTGTGACCTCATTCCGCCGATCGCGTCATGCGCAATGACTATATAGTTTATATAAGGCTAAGACATTCCCTTATCACTAAAATACTGTTTAGGGTCGATTTATTTTAAACTTTCAACTTTGGCACATGAATAATTAATTAAAGCTTTCCCTGACCAATGGTTTAATAGTTTTTGCACACGGCAAACACTTATGAATGAAACTCTGAGATAGTACTACGATATAGCCGTTATGCAAGTGGCTGTGAATGGTTGCCAATGACAACGTGTTGCACACGGAAATTTCTGATCATTTATAATATGGACTCTACAGGGTTTTTAAAGCTCAAATTAAAACATTCCAGTTTAAATGTCTTCAAAATGCATTCTGAAACACAAATTATAAAATATTTTGATGTATATAGTGGTAATAATTAAATATTTCCTAAGTATCGGCAACTTCCGCCATTAAAAAGGGGGCGTGGCCCACGCCATGTCGAAATAAGGCGGAGCCCCCTTATGGTGATATGGGTCACTGGGAGAAGCGTAGCGAACGTGGGACACGACCTACATCAATGAGAATTGGCACAGATATATATCAATATCTAATGCCTTACACGATTTAATATGAAAGACATGTTCCTTTTATTTCACAAAAAATTTTGTATTCGAAGATGCCTTATATATACCAAAGATTTTCAAAATGAAGTTCGATTGAAAAAAGCAAAATAGTTGGATGGAAATGTAGGCCAAGATGTCTTCCAAATTATAAGGCCGGAAACGGAACTCAAATATATGTCCAAAGAACTAATTTAATAATAAATAGACACACACATCGGAAAATTAAAAACTCGGATTTTTCGGCGCCGACGCCCATTTCCGATACAAAAAAGTAGTAGTCTCCCTTGTTTTATCGAAGTATCTAAATAGAGCTAATTTTTTTAAAGAATTATAACACCTAAATCATATTTTTAGCTGTTGTAGTTTTAAAGCTATTAATTTTTAAAGTACAACCTCGTTTGTCTTTTTAACTTGGACTGCATCTCCACATTCTGTGACCCAATTCCACTGAACTGTTCGCGTCACGGCCACGGTATATGCTATATAGTATAATATAGTCTATATGAGGCAACGCACCCCCTAAAATCTTGTTTGGGATCTACTTATTTTGAACTTTCAACTTTGGCACATGACTAATTGATTAAACCTTTCCCTAACCAATGGTGTTAATAGTTTTTGCACACGGCAAACTCTTATTCTTATGAATTAAACTTGAGGTACTGGTAGTACAACGCCATAGCATTATGCAAATGGCTGTAAATGGTTGCTCATGACTTTTTGCACACGGTCAATTCTGATCGTTAATAATATGGACTCTACCGAGTTTTTAAAGCTCAAATTTAAACATTCTAGTTTAAATGTCTTCAAAATGCATTCTGAAACACAAGTTATCAAATATTTTGATGTATATGGAGGTAATAATGAATATTTCATAAGCTAAGCATCGGAGTTTTCCACCATTTAAAAGAGGGCAGGATCACTAATCCAAAATGGCCTGTGCGACCTTAGCATAATGAGGTAAACGTTGAGGAGAATTGTGAAAATGTTTATTGAGCTATCTCAATGAAATTTTGCACACATGTACTTCAACAAATTATGCGGGCCTACTTTTAATATGAAAGACCTACTTTGAATATTTATTTTTTAAAATTTAATGCGAAGATGGCTTATATTGACATACGATTTTCCTTACTTAACCTTGATATAAAGAAATAATTAACTCAATGGGAATGTAGCTCAACATTTTTCCTAACGTTAATGGGTGGAGTCAGACCTTAGTTATGGCCCGAAAGGACTCCTAATTTATTCAAATTACATGCACATGAAAAATTAAAAACTCTTATTCTATTGCGCCGACGCCCAATTCAGATACAAATTTACTAAGAGTGTCCCTTGCTTCATCGTAGTACCTACTAAAGGCAAAGAAACGTGATCACTCAACTGCACTACTCCACTCACTTCATAACCATTGGCTCCCTTTACAGGCACGCGTTGATTACAAGCTGCCTGTTCTCTGTCACAACTTTTTCTCTGGTTCCTGCCCTTCCTATCTTATCTAACTTCTTTCTGTCTATTGACCCCTTTGAAAGCTTCGTTCCTCCGCAGACACGTGTATTCTTTCTGTTCCCAGAACACGCACTAAAAACATGGAGAACGATCTTTCTCTTTCTGTACCCCAAAACAATGGCGTTCTCTCCCATTACACATCTACAATATACCAGCCATCCAAGTATTCCAAACCTTCAAAAATGTACTCAAGACACCTCCCTTTAAACTCTACTAATTTAACTATTCCGACTCATTTTCACCTCCCTCTGACCATTAAACAATGATTGATGCTGCTGGATGCCATCCATCATTCATCCATGACTTGACAGGGGAAGATAGTACTTGGGTTGACCAGGTCGATCTTTTTACCAATCTGTCTTAAATGAATAATTTTATGTAACTGTTTTTTAATGTCATGTTTCTTTTTTTTACTTTTTGCTAATTTTTATGTGACGCGCGATGAGTCTAGTCCTAGGTTGGGGAACAGCGCTATATAAGAATATAAGACCACTTTACTAATAATAGTAGATAGATAAAATTTTCAAAATGAGGCTAATGCTTTCATACACCTAGGCCTAGTTAATAATTATGGCAATGGGTCCTATTAATATTCATAAATAATAAGTAGGCTAATCATATGATGTTAATTAATCTTATGCATCACCACTTAGTGCCACTGATAATGTCATTAGGGTATTAATACTAGGTAGGTTAATGTTTAGTTTACGATACAGATTTTGGCAAGAGAATAGATAGAGATGTCTCACCCTAAGGGCAGGGTGCAGTGACACCATGGTAGGCCCACACTTACCAGACTTTAAAAAAAAAATTTTTTAAATATAGCGTATGATACTTAAAGATCTAAGTTTAGTTCCATCTGGTAGGCTAAATAAGGAGATTTTAATTTAAAAAATGCTTCAAATAATAATGATCACTCATTCCTCATCTAGTGTGCTAAAATGAAATATTAACCGGTACTGATATTGATATGGAAGTAGAAGCTGGAAGTACACTCGTTGGGTAGAGAAAGGACTTTAGTTGACAAATCAATTTTTTTGTTGACTATTCATTATGGCCAATTGATACTAATGACCAAATTTAAATTGTGGTTAAGTACCATAGGTAATATAGTTATCATTATTTTGTTTAATTTTCCAAAACATTAGGCAAGCCTATTCATTATCAAAGTAGTTGACTACAGCCAGCGGTGGATAATCAGAATCTCACATTTTAGAATCCTAAACTAAATGCAAATGAAATAGTGTAGGCCCTAGCTCTAGTGCTACCCTTTGTGGTAATCTTGTATTTTAACATTGTAAATTGAAAGTAATTAACCAGTAGATAAGTAATAATTTTCGTTATCTCCTCTTCCGTGGATAACTAAATATATAGGCCTAGTTGTTAGTAGAATTATCTAACAACAAAATGCTAGTACACTATTATTTAATTTTCCAATAATTAGCCTATTTAGTAATATATGAATTTAATAAATAAATGGGTTATTGAATAGGCCCTACTTGCTATAAACCAGATGTTGATGTTGTCTTCAAATAATAAAAACACCTCATAAAGGGAGCATTTATATTTTTTTAAAGTATGTACTATTGTTACCCTTTTTGTTATGATATCTTTAAAGATCAATTAAGGTCCAAATAGTCCAAAGCAAGTGTTGATCCATGTTTTCGTCCCTACTAGTTTCATTTTATTTAATTCTTCTTAATAATCAGATTGTAATATGAAATTTTCTTTTATCATAAAATAAAAATTAATCAAGACATTTAATCATATAATGGAGAGTTCTTTTTTGTGCTTTAAAAAAAAATTTAGAATGTATGCAATCAGACGAACAAAAGATGCCTTCAAGGGCTATAAGAATCTAAATGACGCCTCTGAAATTCAAATACTGATAAAGAAAGCAACAGAAAATTTGGAAATGTTGAAAAGACAGGTAAGCCGCAATTAATTTCTTTAATAATGTGCCATAGAAATATAGAACCATTCACATGTTAGATGTACCCGGTATGCAGTATGTTGATACTCTGTTCAACTAGGTAATAAGCTGGTATTCTGGCTTCATCAAATAATAAATGAACAACAAAGATCTTCAATTAATTATAAATAAGTTTATTAACTGACTGCAATCATACTTTGCTGTGATAAAGCCTTCAAGTACTATGAAAAGATGACAAAAATAATATTCTATTAAATATATCATGAAACATCTACTCCTAACCCATTCCAAAATTCACCTAAAGCTATCATCCTACTCAATATGAGTATGCTCAATATTATTCTACTATATAAAAATATATAACTAGTCAAAAACAACATTATAAGCTAAACCAAAACATAATAATACATAAAGACACTTATCTATAACGGCTCTAAATATGATACACCTGAACCCACGCCAAAACAGTTAACAGACATAGCAAAAATTGTTGCCATAATTGGGTTGATAATAAATGGAACTTTTTTCTTCAATAAAAATAGAAAAGTTATGAGGCGAAAACAATTGACTAATTTTAAGGGGGTTGGACTAGGATAAAACTTAAGTAGATTAATAAGAAACAATACTTCAAAATATCTAGCTGAAACACGATGATCGTGAAAATGGTTTTTCAAAAGTTAATTTTAAACTGTGCAGTATATTGAAACAGTTTTTGTTTATTGTTTTCTAACACTTCATACATCCAAATTTTCTTGTTGTATGTTGACATTGATAAGCAAATATTAATTAATCTAAAAATCACTGAATGTGTACAGTAATAGAATATATTTACATTCAGTATTTTTCCATGAATAATAAATCTCATGCATTCAGTCTTACGTTATGACTCCTCAAGCTCTTGAGTAATGCAACAAAAGCTGATGTGGATTGACATCAAAGCCTGTGGAATCAAAATTTAAAGTTCATCTTAAATGTTTGAATAAAAAATGTTTGCATATTTTATGTAGATGGATTACTTTAACTCGAGGCTTCCTTTTCTTTTTAAAGTTGTAACATTGTTCATCATTTCATTTCCAGGCATTGCTAAGTCAGCTGTTTGGATCAAATAAATTGGTCATTGAGTCTCAGGCTGGGAGCAAGTGAAGTTGTCATGCAGCTAAGCCATTATCTACATCAGAAAGGAAACTAGTTTTCTCATTTCCTTGCAGTGTACATAGATTTTATTTATGTTGAAGACTGAATAATGTGTGGTCAGGGACAGTTTAGGGGTATGTTGTAAGAAATGGCGGCACTTACTATTGTAATAAATGGGTTGTGAATGTGATTCAAAACAATCATGTGCAAGATTATAATTTAATGACATACAAAGGGATAATAATTAGTAGAAAAACATTTGTTTTGAAATGCATTGAAAAAAAGAGTTGTTATTGAATAAAACTACAAACTGCAATTAAAATATAGATAATTATGTTAAGAGTGTTTATAAAGATTGTGTAACTTAAAATGTGAAATATTACAGAGTGGACAAGAAGAGATTATTTTTCATATTAACCTTTTATTGTTTTTAAGACTATTTTTTAGACTTTAAGGTAAAGAAAGTACCGGTAAACCGTTCAATTCTTGAGGCAAATTTTTTAAATCGAAAATGTTAGTATCAAAGTAATAAAATTAATTTTTTGTAGCACAAGCAATTTAAGAGAGAAACCATCTTCTTATCATCTGGTGACTTAAAGTTAGTTAAGATTTTGTGTCTCCATGTATCTAGACCGCATGATTATTCAAGTTCATTTGTTACCGGGTATTTCAAATGAATAACCAGATGTTGATGCTCATTGTTTTGTGCCCGCACAAAGTATTTATTATTCATTTCATTTTAAATAGCTATTATCACATCAAAAACTAAACAATGTGTAATCACATGGAGTAATCTCCCCTTACTACTTACTATTCAGCCAGAGCTAATAAAAACATTTATTTCAAAGCACATCAATTAAATACCCTATCATTGTGTTGTGTGAAACGAATATTGGTTGTATTTTACTTTTACACAAAGAAATAAATCTATAACAAGGCTAAGGATGTTCATTAAAATTTGTGGAAAAGTGTACAATATCTATTTTGCTGAAACTGAAGTTCATCCAGTGTTTAAGCAGATTGTATTGGACAGATACGGACATTCTTGCCCAATCAAGTGCTTGCATGGTAAAGAAAATATTTGTTATGAGAGAATTTCATGTATCTGGTATTAAGTCAAGATTTCCGTTTTGAACAAAAAATGTTTATTTCCTCCCTTTGTTAAGGCTAAGGTTGTAAAGTTGGAAAAGATTATCACAAGTGGAGATATTAACATTTATAAAAAATAAGTTGACAAAAGTTTGAATAGCTGACAGACTTGCCATTGTTGGTACTAAAGAAATATTGCTCAGAAGATTTTACTCAGGTTGTCTTTATCAGAAGGTGTGATATTTATTTCGTCAGTAGCATATGTGCATGTCAAGGAAACTGAAGATATGTTTTACTGTTTGTTTAAAAATCCTTTACCATATCAATATGTTGCTATGTGAAAGTAATGATTTCCAATTTTCAGGGGGAGATGAGGAGAAAACTTGGCATAACTTGAAACAAAGACTTTGTTTTGTAATATTTAATCATCTTATGGAATGAAAAGTACCTTCAGCTGAATTATTGTCTTCGACTTTGTTTTGTAATATTTAGTTATCTTATGGAATGAAAAGTACGCTCCACTGATTTAATGTATTTGACTTTGTTTTGTAATATTTAGTTATCTTATGGAATGAAAAGTACTTTCAACTGAATTAATCTCTTTGAGAGGTAAGGTTAGAAGCTATACAGTTTCTTGTAGCTGTTGCTTTTAAGTTAGATTTATAAAATGCACCAAGTATATTTAGGTTTAGATCTGTGCAGCCCACATGTTTTTTTCTGAAGCCCCCAAATAGACACCTAAAAGATGTATTTTCCCACCCCAACTTAAGTTGAAGAGCCTGAGAAAAAGTGGTCCCCATGCTGCCATTTGGAAGATTAAATTTAAATTTTACAACTTGTTAAGGCCTCTAAATTAAATGTTGCAGGATAAAACGTGCAATAAGTGAAATATATTATTATTACAATAAATGACAAACTAAACAATCATTAACTTTTTTTAAAAATGTCCTGTCTAGCCTGCGCTCCCCCCCCCCCCGCCCTAAATCTAATTATAAAAGAAAATATTTTTAATATCCCTCTGTGGGTCATACTGTTTCTAGGTTGGGGAAATACTGGTTTAGTTTTTAAAAACAAATGTTTGAGAAGCATGAGGTTGAAGGTGTCCCAAAAATAAAGGTAATGTTTGGATTTTGTCTGATGACAGGTATAAAGTATAATATCGATAGTGTTTTGTCTCAAGCACATGAACACATTGAATCTTTTTACATAAGATCATCAATATAATTTTTTTTTGCATATGAAATTAATGTCTCTTTCAATCTTTTGTAATGGCTGCCCTTGTTTATATATTATGCAATAGGTATTAGAAGACAGATATCTAGCCATCTACCGGTGATATATGTGCTCCATAGTTCTCAAACTTTGTATCAGTCCTGTTGCCAGAGCCATTACATGACTTTGGAGACCCCCTATCAATTTTCTGTTTTACATCCCCTGCGTTTAAATTTAATCATTTTTATTTTTTTCATTTTGGGCTTTTTTAATATCCAAGCTCCACCCCCACTTTCCCTGCAGCCACAGGGGTTGCAGGGTCCACACAGTGGGTCTCATATGACACTCCGTGTTTGATCCAGCCATTGCTGATTGTCATGATTGACAGATTAGCAGGCAATAACTGCCGCCTCATCCATGTGTTAAGATCATTTCTTAGTTTGTAGCAATATGTGTGTTTTTTTTTTTAAATACTACCGTTATTAGCATTAGTAAAATTGGAACTGTTAATTTTATAATACAGTTTTGCACCCAGCTTTATCATGTTCAAATGTTTTGTACGTATATATTTCATGAAATTCAGAACTGAAATTCTCATTAAATTGATTTCCTTCTCTTTTTATATTTTTGCTATATAACTATGGAACTGAAAGTAAAAATTGTGTTTTTAGCATATGTGTCTTTTGGTGTCAGTTATCAAAAAAAATGATGACCAAAATAAGTTAAGAACCGGTGACAGAAACTCAAACATCTTTAATTTAAATATTGGGTACTTGTATGAGTAGAGTACTTACAAATGACGATTTTTTTATTTTTTAAAACATTTTTTTCCATGTAAATTAATATAACGAGACATAATAAATAAATACTTAAGGAAATAACTAAATATGTTTTGTGTTTTTAACAGTTTTACACATTAAAAAATCTGACAAATTGGCTAATTTATAACAAAATAATTTTTTAAATAAGAGTATTAAGATTGTTAAAAAATTTGGCAGCAAACTTAAATTCTAAATTAAATCACTGGGATGACTTCTAAAGGATTGTAGACTTAGAACTAGTAGCCAAGTGATCAAGATTATCATTTTTTAGTTTACTTTTACTATTTTGTTTTCAGGGAGGGTTGGGGGAAGTTGAAAGTTATGAAATGTTTTTATTGTGGTCACTTTTCTAGGTTTTAACTCTAAGATTGTGAATAAATTTTGTATGTTGCTTCAGCAACATAGGTGGTATGGGATCGGCCAGGTGTTTTTTTAACATTTTCACACTACACCTGTGTTCTTAATGTCAATGTTCAATGTCACCCCACCCCATACTTTTTAGTGGGAAGAGCTTACACAAATGGGTCCCGATTCCTGCCATCATTAAAGTTGAATTTCAATTTCGCAATATGACATCAAGAGTCAACGTTGTAGGATAAAAGTAAAAAAAAGTTTTATCGGTTTAACATCTAAAAAAAGAAAAAGGTTCAAATGTTGGCATGAATTAGTAGCGGCCACTTCTTTATAGCTCTTGACGTGACTATTGTCTTTCAAACAGTTTAGCCTAACCTTGTGTCCCAAATAGTAGATTTATGTATAGTTATACATCATGAAAATTATAAATGACCTCAAACGTTTTATTACCAGAGATATTTCAGTTTCAAGCTAAATAAATAATAATTCATCGGTATGGCCAATTCATCGGAATATGTCGATTAATTATTTAAGGTCGATTAATCATAAATCGGCCCATCAGCTATTTGGTACAACCGTAGTATGAAGTTAATGACCCAGATTAGGAAGCTTGATGTGCAAATGAAAAGAAAGGCTTTGGAGGAATTACAGTTGAAGGAAAAAAGTCATGTGTTCTGTCTTTTGCGAAGCTGATGATGCGGCCATGGGAGCAAATAAAATTCACTGTTGTAAGCACAGCTTCCATGACAAAATATAAATCCACACCATATCTCCGAATATCTGTTGATGAATGATTCAATGAAGAACCAAAGCCTAGTCAAGTAGCCAGTGTTTCCCTTCAACCACACATTTTTATGGCCATCTCATATCTGCACCTCCGTGACCTGTTCTAGAGTCATATCCTGGAATGCCAGTCCCTGCTTCACTTTCCGCAGCCCAACTGCAGTTTTGGTTTTTGTAATAGGGTTCTATGTGCTAGAGTTCTATTTGATCTTACTTGGCGACTATTTGTATTGAAAAAGAAATAATTCCTACAGTAATACATCATGTCATAACATAAGGTATCAATGTATCGCCTCCACTTTCACACTAGATGACGTCATCTGACACTTAAGTTAACCAATACAAGATTTTCATTTTAAATGATTTTATTTTATTGTTTTCAGATTTGGACCTGAATTTATTTATTAACTTTTAGGACACAAATTAAATAAATAATCTGTAGTGAAAAAAAAAAAACTGAAAATATTCAAATAAAAGCACAGATAGTTATAGTTATAATATTTTTTCTACATTAAGAAAGATAATGACCTGCAAAGCACAGTGGTCATTTCTTTCAAGGCACATTTTTTTTATAACCAAACAAATAAAAAAAAAATTAATAATAATAAAAAAAACTAAACGATGTTTAATAAAAAGTGTTGAAAGATTGTAAGACATTATAAATAGTAATAAATATTGAAAGGCTTAAAGACATTAATTGACAGATCAACTAAATTGTATATTTCTGACCAGTCATGGAAGTTTTTTCCTCCATCTGTTAAATTATTTCTCATCACAAAATTTACTATGCCACATGTCATCTCCACATTCAGAGTGTCAAATTTTAAGGCCATATTTCATGTCAACATTAAAATTTCAGAAGCAACATTTCATCTCCACATTTCAGAGGCCACATTTCGATGCTGCTGTGGGTATGTGTCACGGTACCTGGCACTGGAAAGACAACATTCTAATTTTTACAATATTCTAACATTCTAATTGTTACTATAACATTATGACATTCTAATTGTTAATAAGATTTTCTAACTGTTACTACAATATAATTGTTACAATATTTTAACATTCTAATTGTTATTACAATATTGTGATGTGCTTTATAATACGTATAACATTTGTATTTAATATTCTTTTATAAGTTTTAATTTAAGTTATATTTATTTCATTTTTTAGGCTAGAAAATGCTTATTTTACTACATAAATAATAAATAATTAAAATAATAAATACCGGTAGGCCTATATAAAACACAAAAAATCCTGCAAAGCAATGGAAAATCCGCAATATGTATTCTAGGAGAAACCCCACAAAGGAGTATGGACGTGAAATGCTAAGTAGTGAGGTCTTACTGTATTGGCTTTATGGAGCAGTTTACAAATTTGCTGTTCTTAGTTTGGGCTGCGCTTGAGAAATAGCTTTACCCCGATATAAATAGAGACGAAAATGTCATACACTAGAATAAAGCGGAAATGCCAAACATTACAATTTTTTATCAATATGTAGAGGTTTGCAATGTTTATGATAAAGATCAGCAGCGTTGGTCAATGGTGTTGTTCAATTTTAAACTAGAATCTTAACCCTGCTAGACTGCCATGAAAGTGTCTTCTAATAAGTCTCAGCTTGATCACATTTCAACTCTCTGAAAATTGGGTCTGCTGAACATAGATAACTACACAAATATATTCTAGCTGTGAAATGAATTTTTTGATAGCATGAAGATTTACTCACTAAATATTTGCAGGGAGCGGCTGCTGTCCATACTGGTCCAACTTAGGCTCAGGTCGTAGAGTGTACTGAAACATAGAACAAGATGTCATTTGCATAAATTAAATACACTTTGTGCACTTTAAAAAAGAGATATATCATTCTGTAAACATGACCGTGTGCTTGCAGAAAGATTTATTAAATTTATTTTATTTTAAATGTCCTCGCGTAAAAATGTCTTTTTTAATTGATAAATTATTTTCTACCCTCCAAGAATTGTGGATGTCTGGTTGCAGATACCTCACTGCATAACCATTCAATTTGATATCTGAAATGTAATTGGTTTGATTTTAAAGTTAGCCTGATTTAACTAATTGATTAGCATAAGTATGTACAAAATTTCAACAAATAATTCCTTGTGGCAAAATTATCTTTAGTTAGCTACATTTTCTGGACATGGATAATTAGTACCGGTAGCTATAAATGATGTCTTTCCCAAATGATTGGACCTTACACTTAAACTTAAATAAGAATTGAATTTGCAACATATATTTCCCAATAACTGGACTTTAGATAAGAAATTACTTTGGACCATTTTATTCCCAGCAAGGAACCGTAAAAATAAAATGACCTTATTCCTAAAATCTAATCTTAAGTTTTCAGATTTTAAACACACTTATACTTATATAACTCAAAATAGCTAAGCCTTAGTTAATCTTTCCTTGAAAATATCCCCACTTTGTTTTATTAAAATGTTCCTGCCAGTGAATTGTCTTAAAATATAAAAAAAATTTTGTCTACATGTTGGGAGATGTACTTACCTCTTGTCGACCGAAAGTCAGCATGTTGGTTCTCCACCTTTGCCGGGCTGTTGTTGAGACTTCCTGACCAAATAAGCTTTGACCTTCTATTTTGAGATACACAAATTTTCATAAGTCCAAGTCCAAATTGTTGAAATAAGTTAACTTCACAAGTCCATTTGTTAAAATAAGTTAACGTCTTAAGTCCAAATTATTATAAGTTAACATCATAAGCCAAATTGTTAACTTCAAAAGTCCAAATTGTTATAATAAGTTAACTTCAAAATAAAAGTCCAAATTTTTATAATAAGTTGACTTCAAAAGTCCAAATGTTAACTACAAAAGTCCAAATGGTTAAAATAAGTTCCCAAACTGTTATAATCAATTATTAAAGTAAGCTCCAGGTAGCAATCTAAGCATTACAGGATACATTTGCCCAGGAGTTTTGATTGATTGGATATTTATATAGCACTGGTACCCATGCTACTTTAGCATGCTCACTGCGCTCTGGTTTACTTAAATCTATTTAAACATAAAACTTTTAAAATGTTTCTTAAATGATTTTTTATCATTATCAATTCCCCCTCAAAGATTGAAGCAAACTGTTCCATAATTTGGGCGCTATCGCTTCAAAAGACGGCACTCCGTAAGACTTTTTTTCTGTGTTCATCCACACTGGGAATTTTCAGTATGGACTGTGTTGAAGACCGCAGGTTCTTTAAGGATACATGTTTATAAATCTGTTCTTTAAGATATTCCGGTGCAGAGCCTTCTATGCAGCTGTACGTCGGGGACAGAATTTTGTAATTAATGCTCTCACTCACAGGAACCCAATGTAGATCTCGTAGAACTGGGGTGATGTGGTCAGATTTCTTCATCCGCGATACAACGTGTGCTGCAGTATTTTGTATCTTCTGGAGTCCCTGAATTCGCTTCTGAGGTAAACCCCATCAACTGTTACAATAATCTAATCTTGACTGGCTTAGAGTTACCGCTACAGCATTGGCTGTTCTCTTATTGAGTTGAGGACGCAGCTGACCCATAGCACGCAGATGACAGAAGCATGCCCTGACCACAGAACTGATATGGGGAATCATTCTAATCTTACTGTCAATATATAAGCCAAGGTCTCTGACAGTGGAGGACAACAGGATCTCTGATTCACCAACTTTTATTGATGCGATGGTAACCTTCCGAAGATCGGCGTCTGAACTACAAATAATTGCCTCAGTCTCATCGTCATTTAATTTTAGTCTGTTTGATGACATCCATTTTTTCACAGCAAGACAGCAGTCCTCGACAGCCTGAACAGCAGACAGTCCCACTTTTACTACAGTATTGTTGGTAATGTTTTCTTTAAAACTGCAGAACATTTTGGCTCTCACAAATCATAGTCATTGAATTCCCAAGTAGAGAAATCACCGTTAGGTAAGACACAGTGAAATCAGAGTCATTGAAATCACTGTTAGATCTACCGTACCGTACCTGAATTAAAACTGGTCAATAAGTTCGCACATTTCAAACACTTTTGTTTAAGACAACTGGCTGCCACCCACACAATTTGTTGTTCAACGCATAATTAGCCTCAAAGGCACAACATGGGAGACTAATATTTGACCGAAAGTGTAAGACGTAATGCTAATGTTTAGTGGTGATGGGCATCTAAAAAGATATCAGGACTACTTAAAACTCTTCCCAGGGTGAACTCCCAAATTTGTGACCTCGGACTACGCATCGATTTGTGTAATGTTAAGCCCATATAAATATATATATATTAAATCCCTTCACCTCCCCTAGTTAAGTAACTGAGTGATGACAAAATTTCGATTGTCTGTGGGTCTTCCGCAGGTCTTAATCCGGCAACAGGGGCCTTAAAATGTGTGGGGTGTCACTAGCTACAACAAAATAGGAAGATTTATGCTTACCGAAATACAGCATGGGGTAGCCATAGATAAAAAAAAAAATCATATAATATTAACGCAGATAGAAGCACTGAGACCTCTCGCACAGGCCGCCTTATCAAACCAATAGATGATTAGATCATATAACACTAGGCCTAAGCGGTAGGATATAACATCACAATAAGCAGAATAACTCACTCTAGATCTTGTGGAGTACTGTACAGTTGATGGAGTTGCCTGCCTGTTTCTGTTATAGTCTAAACAATAACCCAACCATTAAAAAATATATTATATTTGAAATTTAATTTTACTTTATTGAAAAATATATATTTGTAAATAATTTTTAAGAGCTAAATTTTGATAAAATTTATTCAAGAACATTTATTGGGCTACCATGATCACGAACATAAGTTAACTAGCTTACCAGTGTGGGCAGTCTTGGAGTCGGTGGTTTGAAAAGTGATGACGTGGCGTTGGCAAAATCTTCTGTTTATAGGGAAAAAATGAAAGGAATGGATTTACATGGGTTAAAGTGAAATATTCTGTTAATAGAAAGAGAGGAGGGAATGGGTTAAATGCACATCTTCTGTTAATAGTTAAAGTAGACGGAATGGGTTAAAGGGACATCTTCCGATGTCAGGGTTTTAGTTGATGTCAAACCTAAAGGCAAATCAAATAGGCCTACTCCTTATCTTGTCACGCTAAAAGGTCTGAGAAGATCACGTTGAAAGCTCAGAAAATGTCACGTTAAAGACTGAGTGAATGTCTAGTTAAAATATTAATCAGAGAATCTCAATCCCAAACTCACTGGGTCCACAGGTCGTCGTGGTCCGACAGTGCTCATCACTCATCTTACGCATGGCGTTGTCCATTTCCATTCGACGAAATCGGGGTGGGTTTGGGTGGAAGATTCCCTGCTTGACGGCAGCAAGTTGCACACGACGGAAGCTGTTGTACTTGTAGGCATAGTCGGGGATCTTCGGAGCATCGGCTCGGTGCGTGACGTAAGTGGACACTCCTACAGTCGTCATATTGGTAACTGTTGTACGCCAATGAGAAGGATGGGGTTAAGATATCAATAAGTAGGAAAGGGTTAAAGTTAGTTATATCATCATGCTTAGTTTTTTGTTGGTGTTGTTAAATCAATTATAGAGAAAGATGTGCAATGGCGTAGCTAAGGTTAGTGCCACCCGGGGTGGGCAAAACATTTTTTTATCCAAACCCTTCCACAATATAACTCTGCAGTAGGCTGAAAATGCTAACCCTTTATATATAAGGAAAATAGGTGGCACCCGTGGTGGACCACCCCATCCGCACCCTCCTTACTACGCCACTGGGGATAGGGTTAAATTTAAAGCAGGCTTGTGGATTTATGAAGTATACGTCTTTCATAAAGTGACAAAATAAAATACATTGAAATTTGCTTGCAAAGGATTCCACAGCCCGTTGTTCTGTGTGGCTGACAGTCAGGGTTGCCACACGCGGGGCAGTTGGGAGGGGATATAACTGAGCATCTGAGATAGAAAATCTATCTACATTTATTTTATTTTATTTTTTAAAGGAGAGACAATTTTAGACCAGACAGCCTTTTGTAAAACTCACCAAATTATTGTTTGTATTGCGATACTGATCAGTATTTCATTCATACGTCTTTATGCTACGGTTTATCTCTTGGCCTAACTGGCAATACATTTTTTAATCTTTTAAAAAAAATTTTTTTTTTTTAAATAAAAGATTTGGACTAAGGGGCAGACATAAATTCTTTGTATGATCTCAGGGGGTCCTAGACCAAAAGGTTTGGGAAACCAGGTGAAAACAATGGTCTAGAGTATTTTAGATTTTCACGAGTTTGGGTCGCATAGTGAAACAATGGTCTAGAGTATTTTAGATTTTCACGAGTTTGGGTCGCATAGTGAAACAATGGTCTAGAGTATTTTAGATTTTCACGAGTTTGAGTCGCATAGTGAAACAATGGTCTAGAGTATTTTAGATTTTCACGAGTTTGGGACACAAATTAAAACCATGGTCTAGAGTATTTTAGATTTTCACGAGTTTGGGACACAAATTAAAACCATGGTCTGGACCAGTGGTTCTCAACCTTCTTCATGCCGCGACCCTTTAATACAGCTCCTCATGTTGTGGTGACCCCCAATCATAAAATTATGTTCGTTGCTACTTCATAAGTTTGTGTGTTCCGATGGTCTTAGTCGATCCATGTGTAAGGGTCGTTCGACCCCCAAAGAGGGCGCGACCCTCAGATTGAGAGCCGCTGGTCTAGACTATTTTGTATGGTCATAGTTTGGGGCACATTAAAACCATTGGCCTAGACTACTTTTATTAAATATATTGTAACAGTTTGGGACACACATTAAAACCATTGGTCCAGACTACTTTATATTGTCACAGTCTGGGACACAATAAAACCATTGGTCCAGACTACCTTATATTGTCACAGTCTGGGACACACATTAAAACCATTGGTCTAAACTACTTTATAATGTCACAGTCGGGAACACATTAAAACCATTGGTCTAAACTACTTTATATTGTCACAGTCCGGGACACATTAAAACCATTGGTCTAAACTACTTTATATTGTCACGGTCTGGGACACACATTAAAACCATTGGTATAAACTACTTTATAATGTTACAGTCTTGGGCACACATTAAAACCATTGGTATAAACTACTTTATATTGTCACAGTCTGGGACACATTAAAACCATTGGTCTAAACTACTTTATATTGTCACAGTCTTGGACACACATTAAAACCATTGGTATAAACTACTTTATATTGTCAAAGTCTTGGACACACATTAAAACCATTGGTATAAACTACTTTATATTGTCACAGTCTTGGACACACATTAAAACCATTGGTATAAACTACTTTATATTGTCACAGTCTTGGACACACATTAAAACCATTGGTATAAACTACTTTATATTGTCACAGTCTTGGACACACATTTAAACCATTGGTATAAACTACTTTATATTGTCACAGTCTTGGACACACATTTAAACCATTGGTATAAACTACTTTATATTGTCACAGTCTTGGACACACATTAAAACCATTGGTATAAACTACTTTATATTGTCACAGTCTTGGACACACATTAAAACCATTGGTATAAACTACTTTATATTGTCACAGTCTTGGACACACATTTAAACCATTGGTATAAACTACTTTATATTGTCACAGTCTTGGACACACATTTAAACCATTGGTATAAACTACTTTATATTGTCACAGTCTTGGACACACATTAAAACCATTGGTATAAACTACTTTATATTGTCAAAGTCTTGGACACACATTAAAACCATTGGTGTAAACTACTTTATATTGTCTATCTAAAGCGTATCTCTCCCAAAAAAACCCTATGCATATTAAATTAATTCAGTGGAAGTTAAATAGAAAATTCGCCTAGTCTGACCGCAGAATTAAAAATAACTTATTGAAACTGTGTCAGAACACAAACTTGAAGAGACGTTATTACAACCAGAGTTCTTATCATTCTATTTAGTGACTGATTTTACAAATCTGCACCAAACCCAAATAACAAATACGACTGCTCGCCGAGCATAAAAATATACGATATTAATAAGTACACTTTCACACAAACGCGATTGGTGAGTAGGTTACCAAACATCGTTTGGGAGTACAAACCTGTTTGAGAATGAAAGTGCTATACCTTTCTATTTCTTTCCCCGGAGCCTTGGTGTTTAAAGCTCAACTCTATGCCCACACTAACATTGCTCCACTGTTCCCTTACTGAACATGTACACGGTCCATAACCAATAATAATCAACCAGATCGATATCTCATTAAATATTCACGACAAGCCAAAAGAGGGTGTTGGGTCGAGGTGCACTTGGTAACTTACCTGCAAATAAGGAACCTTCAAATCTCCTTCGGACGTCAATAGGGGTCAAATCTGGTGACAGGTCTCAAAGACGAGGTGTTCCCTCAACTGTGGCGGCATGGGTCCCTGCTTCGACTAGTAGGGCCCCAAGACGACGCTAACTGACGCTGTGATATACTCTATACTGTCACAGAAGTTTCGACATCATCTATGCTGTCACAGACGGTGTGACATCCTCTATACGGTCACAGAAGTAGTGACATTCTAATCTTAAGGAAGTTGTGACCTACTACTCTTAACGAAATCGTGACATCTTACTCCTACATGCTAAATATTATTACATCCTGATCAAAAGATCCGCATGACGGCGTTGAACAATATGAAACTCAATCTGTACCCTCCTCGCAAGTAGGTTAAGAACCGCTCCAGACAAATTTACCTGGCACCAATAGGAATCGTAGAACAAGGTAATTTTTTTTTTAATTCTCTGTAGCATACAGCTAGCTTAATGTGCTAAATGTGTCTGTTTATGTTTGTAGATGTGTTTGTGAATATGTTTGTATATGTGTATATGTTTGTATATGTTTGTATATGTGTGTAAATGTTTGTATATGTAGATATTTGAATATATCTTGAGCGTGTGTGATTGATTTCACTGTACAAGATTCTTACATTATCAACTGTCTCAAATTACGTTTAAAGAAGGTCTATGTTAATTTGAATGCAAGTTCCCCCTCTTCCAATCATGTTCCACATCTACTACCCTTGGCCCCATCACATCATTCCCTACGTTTTTTCTCAAACCAACATCCTCTAATATTCTTACAGTAAGCTTCCCCTCTAACCAACGCAATGATCCTCTACCTTCTTACCATCACTCTCTCCCCTACCACCTGTCTCTTCCTTATTACCATCACCTCTCCCTTGCTATCACCTATTTCTCCCTTCTTACCATCACTAGTACCCTCATACCATCACCCTCTCACCATCACTCTATTCCCTGTATCTCTCCCTTTTTACCATCCCCATATACCCACAATCTCTCACTTTTTACCATCACCATATACCCACAATCTCTCATTTTTTACCATCACCATATACCCACAATCTCAATTTTTACCATCACCATATACCCACAATCTCTCACTTTTTACCATCACCATATACCCACAATCTCTCACTTTTTACCATCACCCTCCTTACATCACCCCTGAACATCACAGCCTCCCCTCCTACAACCACCCTCTTACAATCACACTATACCTCATTACAATCAGCTTCTCTCTCACACCTCTCTTCTGCTAGTAGACGCCAGGCCGATGCTCACAATCTTGTCGTCTAGCATTACTTTGTTCCCATTAAGTCAACATTTCTGTTTGATTCCTCCTCTTCTATAAAAATCTAACCCGCTGACTAAACATGGGCTGTAGTGCCATTGATGATGATGTTGACTAAACATGGGCTGTACTGCCATTGATGATGATGTTGACTAAACATGGGCTGTACTGCCATTGATGGTGGTGTTGACTAAACATGGGCTGTAGTGCCATTGATGGTGGTGTTGACTAAACATGGGCTGTAGTGCTAGTGATGATGATGTTGACTAAACATGGGCTGTAGTGCTACTGATGTTGACTAAACATGGGCTGTAGTGCTACTGATGGTGATGTTGACTAAACATGGGCTGTAGTGCTAGTGATGATGATGTTGACTAAACATGGGCTGTAGTGCTACTGGTGGTGATGTTGACTAAACATGGGCTGTAGTGCTACTGATGGTGATGTTGACTAAACATGGGCTGTAGTGCTACTGATGGTGATGTTGACTAAACATGGGCTGTAGTGCTACTGATGGTGATGTTGACTAAACATGGGCTGTAGTGCTACTGATGGTGATGATGACTAAACATGGGCTGTAGTGCTACTGATGGTGATGTTGACTAAACACGGGCTGTAGTGCTACTGATGGTGGTGTTGACTAAACATGGGCTGTGGTGTCATTGATGGTGATGTTGACTAAACATGGGCTGTAGTGCTACTAATGTTGACTAAACATGGGCTGTAGTGCTACTAATGTTGAATAAACATGGGCTGTAGTGCTACTGATGGTGATGTTGACTAATCATGGGCTGTAGTGCCACCGATGATGTTGATTAAACATGGGCTGTAGTTCTACTAATGTTGACTAAACATGGGGTGTAGTGCCGCCCATGATGTTGACTAAACATGGGCAGTAGTGCTACTAATGTTGACTAAACATGGGCTGTAGTGCCACCGATGATGTTGACTAAACATGGGCTGTAGTGCCACCGCTGATGTTGACTAAACATGGGCTGTAGTGCTACTGATGGTGATGTTGACTAAAAATGGGCTGTAGTGCCACCGATGATGATGTTGACTAAACATGGGCAGTAGTGCTGCTAATGTTGATTAAGCATGGGCTGTAGTGCCACTGATGATGTTGACTAAACATGGGCTGTAGTGCCACCGCTGATGTTGACTAAACATGGGCTGTAGTGCTACTGATGGTGATGTTGACTAAAAATGGGCTGTAGTGCCACCGATGATGTTGACTAAACATGGGCTGTAGTGCTACCGATGATGTTGACTAGACATGGGCTGTAGTGCCACCGATGATGTTGACTTAACATGGGCTGTAGTGCCACCGATGATGTTGACTTAACATGGGCTGTAGTGCCACCGATGATGTTGACTAAACATGGGCTGTAGTGCCACGGATGATGTTGACTAAACATGGGCTGTAGTGCCACCAATGATGTTGACTAAACATGGGCTGTAGTGCTACTGATGGTGATGTTGACTAACATGGGCTGTAGTGCCACCGATGATGTTGACTAAACATGGGCTGAAGCGCCACTGATGATGATGTTGACTTAACAATTTTTTAGTTTAAGAAACCCAGTCAGAAATTATTTGTATGACCTTGACATTAGAGGCAACCATTGCAGGGCGGTAACCAGGTAAAGATATCACATCCACCCTTTCTTCAATCAGTAAATGCAGTACAAACTTTGTGAAACATTCAAATTGTGTCAAATCTTTCACATTCTCCATACAATCCAGGTAGTGGGTACCGGTAAAATAAACATTTCTAAATGATCAACTGAACAAAAGTAGTTTTTAAAAAATGACAAAGCCAAGTATTGTATATCATTCCTTTATTTCATCCAACAAACAAACACAGATGTTGAGAGAAAGCTGACCACAGTGCAGTGTGGACACCATACATTTCTTTTAAACATGAACATTATTTTGACATTAAGAAAATCTATTTTTAATAGTTTTATGAATGGTTAGAAAATTTTGTTTGAATTGATTGGGAGGTCAAAGTAGTCCGCAGTAGAAAACGCACTCCTTTTCTGTACGGCTCAAATTCATGGGAGCCACCCCTATGGCGTCACTGGGGTGGTCACATTGTTTGCAACTAGGGCGAAACATCCTGGGGGAGCTGCCTCGTGGTACTTCCTCCCTGTAGAAAGCGAGGAAGTCCTTCAAGATGGGGTCCGGGGATCCATAAGAGCTTCCGCTGCGTTCGTAGATGTAATTCCATATGTAAAATTTTGAGTTACCTGAATTAATTTTCCAAGACATGTGACACAAACAAAATTATAAACAAACTTAGCCAACCAGCTGTTTAGACCAGTGCTTCTCAACCTTATTTTACCCATGACCCCATTTAACATTTTATATAACTCATATTATTTTTTTATTTCTGGACATCGAGGAATTCTGTCAGTTTGATTTAAATCTAGCGTTGAGCTGTTCTATCACTTTGCTGTTCAATTGTTTGTTTCTACCGAGTGGCAGCTACATTTTTCTAATGTTGCTTGTGTGACAGCCAAGTGACTTTTCACAACATGCTTGCACAAAAATACCCCAATGATTTCAATGAATATATATTCAATGTAAGAAACAAACATAATACAGTGAGAGAACATTAATTTATGAAATCCAGAGGATTGATATTTAAATTGCATTATTTGTACTTTAGCAATAGATATAAATTGTATAATCTCATAATTGTGTGTAATAATAAATGAGTTCCATAGTTGCCAATAAGTCATCTTGTTAAGATATTGTTCAGTTTAAGGTTGTGGCCAACTCAAACTCTTCATGCCCACCCCAAAGAAGTATTTTTTTTTTTCAAGGCCTCTGAGATATATAGTGTTCTTGGGGAAAAAAAAAGAGGGGGGGGGATATATTGTCCACATTGCGAACCACCAGTTTAGACCACACATATTAAAATTTTAGGCCACAAGTGTGGAACTTTACATTTTATTAATTAAGAATCTGCCTTAAACTGATGGCTTTGTTTATTCCAGCTTCGTTTTAGCATTTTAATGATAACTATTTTGGTAAACATCATTTGAGGATTGGCCAATATATGAGAGATTGAGCAGCGTACCTCATTTTAGGTCTATTTCAAAAACACTAGCACAGTGGTTCTCAACCTACCTAATGCTGCGACCCTTTAATGCAGGTCCTCACATTTTGGTGACCCCCAACCATAAAATTATTTTCATTGCTACTTCATAAATACATGTTTTCCGATGGTCTTAGACGACCCCTGTATAAGGACCGCTGCTCCAGAGGAACAATCCAACAATGCTCATAATAAAAGGTTATAAAAATCAGCTGATTTGAAAACTTTTGTCTAAAAATGTCCACAAAGACTTACATAAACATTAAAGATAATATTATTTACAATCCGTCGAATTCTCCACATTTACACACACATTTAAAAGAAATTAATGACACATTTTAAATGACAGATGAAAATAGAGAGAATTAAGAGAGGTTAACATTTCCTAGAAAACCCTTGATCTCAACTCTGGCCTTCATTTCACTTGACTACGACTAAAAGACTTGTGCTCATAATGAATAAATTGCTACAGTAAAATCAGTGGATGTGATAATAAAGAGTAATTTAATGCCACAAAATTTCATCCATGACAACTGTGGGAAATCAACTCCATTCTATATGTTGAAAAGCTTAGGAAGGAATGATGGTAACTAATGCAAAATGCTACATGGGGCACAGGTAAGTCCGGAACTAATTCAAAAATGCTCCATTGGTTTCATGTAAGTCAGAAATACTGAAATAACATGAATGAGCTAAAGGCATTGAAAAATACATAATAATTAATTTAAGACTTAAGCTCCCATTTGTAATAATTATAAGAAGTTAACATCCTGTTCTATCAAACAGTCTGACCGTATCAATCTAAAACCAGTACTTTCACCACCAAAAATTATGTTCAATTATTTTCACTATCACTCTCATCATAGTTTCATCCAATATCTTCGATGCTGTCTTATGGTTGTGTGAATTGGATATCATGACTATTACTGTTGTGATAGTTTTATCCAATATCATCCCCGCTGTCATACAGTATCATCCCTGCTGTCATCCAGTATCATCCCTGCTGTCATCCATTTATCCAGTAGCTCTCCTAGCCAGACACTGATTAACAACATCCAACAAATGGGAATTTTCCAAGGCAGCAGCGACCCTCTCCTTGTCAGCCAACTGTTTGTTTACTGTGAAAGTGAGGAGAAAGTCATTATGTCAACACATGCTCTGTTAGAAGTTGATCTGTTTACTGTGAGATGAGAAAGTCATTATGTCAACACATGCTCTGTTAGAAGTTGGTATGTTTACTGTGAGAGGAGAAAGTCATTAGGTCAACATATGCTCTGTTAGAAGTTGGTCTGTTTACTGTGAGATGAGAAAGTCATTATGTCAAAACATGCTCTGTTAGAAGTTGGTATGTTTACTGTGAGAGGAGAAAGTCATTAGGTCAACATATGCTCTGTTAGAAGTTGGTCTGTTTACTGTGAGATGAGAAAGTCATCATGTTAACACATGGTCTGTTAGAAGTTGGTCTGTTCACTGTGAGAGGAGAAAGTCATTAGGTCAACATATGCTCTGTTAGAAGTTGGTGTGTTCAATCAATACAAATCAATATGTAGGTCAAATCTATTGTTAATGTGCTCAAATCATACACAGGTGAAATGTTATGACTGGTGATCAATAATAAGGAGGTAACATATTTGTTGTTGGTTTCTTCTAAGTTTAAATGTACTAGAGATTTTATTTGTTGAAACACATAAATCTGGAAATAAACTGGTCAATTCCGGTCAATTGAATTATGATATTATTGCTAGGAAGCAAACAAACAAAAGTATTTTAAAATTCTGGAGTTCTGTCAAATAAATGTGTGGCAAAGCTGAGCTTTGTTTGACTTAAACACACAAAAAATCACACCAAAAAAAATCACATTTTTTTAACATAGGTCAAAGCCAAAAAACTTGAAAGTTGTTTCCAGCCAATTTGTGATGCCCTTAAACGACACATGTCAACGAACAATTATGCAACAAAGAGCATTTTATTATGTCGGGTTTTTTTAAAATTGATTAAAGCATGTACTAATTGGGAGAGAGACGATTAAAAATTCTTGTTTGTACCTGCTTGTTCTGAATCATGTGTCCCTGGTGTAATCTGGACATCAACCTGTCAAAGCACAAAGTAAGATAATTCATACCTACAAGCAAACATTAGAAATTAATTATACCATTTTTTTTAGAATCAGTGTCTACAGATCCTAATCGATTGTGACATTTTTTATATGGGATCAGTAAAAGAACAATGAATTTATACACATTAATGCTCTGCTTTCAACCTAGAAAATAAGCTTCTGGGAATCACTCTTGGGTTACTCTTCTCTAGCAGTAGTCATTAAACTATATCAAATGATGGACTGCAATAAACTAACTCAAATAATGGGCTGCAATAAACTAACTCAAATAATGGGCTGCAATAAACTATATCAAATAATGGGCTGCAATAAATTATTCCTTGTTTAAATCAAACTTTAGAGGCCACTATATCTGTTTGTTCAGGGTTTAATGATGAGTGAAAATATATTAAGCTGATCAAATTTAGGTCAACAACTTTATAATTAGAAAAGTCGGGAATTGCATGAATATAAAATTCCTACCTTAAATCTTGACGGAAGTGATCGCAACAGCTTAACTCTGATTGAAAGCCCAATCAAAGTAGCCATACTGCAGTGTGGGATCGTGGGGGTAAACAAGATATGAACCGCATTGGCATCATCATCAACCTATACATCAATTAAAAACATATCATTTTCTCAATTAAACCCCTGGATCATACAGTATAAAAAAAGTTTTGATAAAGCCAATCTATTCATTGACAATATTATAATCATTTTTTTTTATTTCAAAGAAACATAAAGACTGTAACCGGATGCAAAGATCCATAACTTTGGCTACATAAAAGTGGTTACTTTCCTTTGTTGAAAACTCACCCATTAAATTAAGTAATTATTTTGGGTTGGGTTTACAAGATATTAAAAATGTCTCAATGATCTTTTAGTTGACACAGATATTATGCTAACAGCTGACGCATATATTATGGTTGAACTAGATATTATGTTAACAGCTGACCCAGATAATATGCTAACAGGCATTTATAGTTACAGTCTGACTAGACATACAATTTTTAAAAAAATTACTTTAACTATACATTTCTTTTTAACTTACCTTAATTTTAGACTCTTCCACCACATTAAGCTCTTCCAGAGTCAGTGGGTGCTCAGGATCATTTATAACACGAATCAAGTCTAAAGAGTAAAGAAACAAAATACAAAGAAGCTTGAGTAAGGCCTTTATTTTAACCTGATAGCAAATATTAAAATTTAGGCCTAATGCAAATCGGTTTTGCTAATGCTTATCTGGGTAACCAACTGTCTTTATCCAATCACGCAAAATGCTAACATTTACATATACCCATAAACTGTGGATACATTTTAAACATTTCCAGGCCTATTAATAATCACAGATTTCTTTTATTGAATCAGACGCCATCTAGATCAGTGGTTTTGAACCTTTTCCAAATTTGCCACCCTAAAAAACAAAAATGATCCCCGCCCCATTATATATTTTCCAATATAAATTGACATTTGTGATCTCAACAGAGACCTCTTCTGTCAATGGATGTTATTCTTTAAGTAAATTTTACCAGCCAGTAAAAAGTAATTAATAACATATTTATTTATTTCAAATTCACTATTTAAATTTACCATAAAGTCCATCTTCATAAAATATCTGTCCAAATGTGATTGGATTTTGTTTATCCCACTGAAATGTGTTATATTTATACCAGAAAGGACTTATTACTATTACAACTATTGCGCCTTAAATACTAGTACCTTTAATTTAGGACTTAAAAATATGAGACTAGATGTCATACAAAATTGTTTTAAGGCATCTAGGCGGCAGGGGGGTGGGGGGCGGGGGGGGGATCCACAACTGTGTGATGATGTGTAATAATCTGGTCTAATATTTTTAATAAATTTCAAGGGGGGAGGAAATAGGCTAAAATAGTGTGACATTATTTATGAATTGCCTTTTACAAAGAAAGCAAAAGTATCTGAGTATAACAATAACACAGCTTTTTATTATTATACCATTAAATAAGTTTTTAATTTAAAAAAAAAATATATCAGGATAATACCACATAAAACAAGATCCACTTTTTATGAAAGCCCCTACTTTTGGTTTGAATTAAGACCTAATATCCCATGTCCAAGTGTATTGCAATTTGTTAATTTTGTTCCAGAACATTATTAATAATACAGCAGAAGTAATGGAAAAAGTATTTATTTTAATAACAATCTCAAAATCCTTGAAATTATTATAATATTTAAAATGAACTGGTCATACTGATACAACTTTTAACAACTGAGGCAAAAGAGGCCCTTATTTACACTATTTTCTTTATGGGCAGATGCAATGCATGCTTGATCGTCAAATGAACGTGGGTCAAAGTAGATCCAGTTGCATCAGCATTAGTATATGAAAAATTGCTACACATGCATGAGCATATAATGTGAACCCTTTTCTTTAAGTAGCATTTGCTACCATAAATTTATTGATTTATGCCTAAATTTTACTTTTTGGAAATTATAAAGAATAGGCCTTCCTTATTTTATTTTGCTATTGGTTTTTAAAATTATGATGCTAACATATAAGATTAGCCCAAAGTGAATAAATAGCATTATGAGTAGGTTCAGATAGATATTAGCCGAGAAGGGTAGTTTAAGTTAAAACAGTAGGCACAAAGTTCTAAAAAGTTCCTAAATAAGTAAATGACTGAGTTGTAGAGTACTAACACTATGAGAATTGACTGAGTTGTAGTGTGCTAGCCCTATGTCTCATTAAAATAGTGTACTTAATTAATTATATGCATAATATTGAGCTTAATTACTTAGAAACATTCCATAAATGATGTCAACCTATTTTTATCACCATCCATATATTGTCACCACCCATACATTATCACCATCCATATATTATCAGTTCTTAAAAAAAGTCAAATTTTCATACCCCCATCCCAACCCCCCAGCTGCCAGGGCAGTGTGAAGGGGGTCACCTGCCTTGGACGCTAACCTTATGAGGTCATCAAATCGCCATTTTTCATGCATGTTACGCACTGACTTGTATTGGGAGAAATTAATCTCCTATTTTAATTTTAATTGGCTCGTTGTAAACAGTGCCTAACAAAGGACGATACCATATAATCAACAATATTAAAGATACGACCCAAAACAGTTTCTAGTTACAATTAATTAAGATTTATTATGTCTTAAGATAATTACAAAATAAAATAAAATAAAATTACAATCTTCAACTTACAGTATGGTAGATGTCGTACCGGTACACAGTTAATACAATTAGAAATAATGATGCCAATAAATAATGCGAAATAAACACATATAAGTAGGAGCACACAAATACACAAAGAATAAAACACGCCTCGTAATGTTAAGAAAATCTAGGTGAGAAAAATCTCCCTCGTCGTGCCTGTCAATCCCTTATATATATGTAGAGTAAGATGCTTCGAGAAGGGCTTATGACGTGTTGTTTACATATCTCGGGTTAAGGAGTATATTCCAGAAATTACCCGAAAACAATCTACCCAATGCGTAATTGGAAGCCGATTGTAAACAAGCCACTTCAAAGACCTAAGCCACACCCCTTTGTGAACACAGCGTCTCATGCGGGGTCAATCAGAGGGCACACACGAGAAATATGTAAACAAGCTCTCTATAACAATGCAAAATATATGCATTATATTTTTATATAATTTTTTGGGATGAGGTAGCTTTCTGCGTTTTATACCTGGACATTTTCGGATGACCCCCGTCCAAGGTTCATGTTTTTTTTTTCATGGAGAAACTTTAAACATATTTTTTTTAAATTGCAGGTCCTAAAGGCCTATTTTTAAATTATCATACAGGATTATCAACCCAAATTGCCACTCTAAAGGTGCAACCGATTCATTAGTGCGACCTATATGTGACTATATACATTACTTAATAATTAAATACCCTTACATGATAGTGGACGTTTGTAGTATAATTAAAATCGCCAAAACAATATGTGTAGTATTCATAGTTACAGCAAGTAGGCTACCGATTAAAAGGAAGTTAAATTAACAAAATTATAGTAGTAAATAGTTGAGAAATATAGGGAGATCTGCATTTAGGTTGAAGCAATGAGAAATGTATGGAAAACCTGAAGGTAAATAATAGAAAGTGAATATTTCAGCAAAATAGCATTCAACAGAGTAGTAATATAAATATAGATAAGGTGAAACTGGAAGAGAAGACATATTGTAATGGATTTCAAGGTGGCAGTTGATCAAATGTTATAATTCTGAAGGAATCGGATGTATTGTGACTGTACTTCAATCAATCATTATTCTATTATTCATCAATGTAAAACTAAATATATATAGTGTGATTTGTTAATAAAAAAATGATTTGCTGAAATTGGACGTCAGCTGATAAATTATACTATATATAGTGTGTGTGAGACATAGGTTATAGAGTATGCAGAATAACACTAGTAACAGCAACGGTCATATTTACATAGATGTCAGAACTACAACGTTGTCTGATGATTTAGAGTAACTATGGTACAATCAGGAGATTCGCCATATGTCACATCTACCATTTCCTGTAGACTACACATCTAAACAAAGTAAGAGTGTTAGTCTCTGTCTTTAACTGTTTTTTGCTTTTTGGCCAAAACATTCACATTCACTTTCTGTTATTGCTTTGTCCTTCAGGTTTTTCAATAAGTTTTGGGTTAATGGTATTGAATTTTCCAAGAGTTGTCTCACCCTAAGCGCAGTGTCATCACTTTGGAGAATCCCAACATAGGACTACTGACTAAATTGTATGGGAAATGGGTGTTGGTGAAATAGCTGATAGATTTTGTTTCAGAATGAATTTAGAAGGCATTTAAACCGAAATATTTTTATTTGAGATTTAAAAACCTGGTAGAGTCCATTTTATAAATTATCATAATTTTCTGAGGGCAAAATCTCAGAGTTTCATTCATAAGAGTTTGCCACATATACAAATTGATCTTCTGGGGACTGGGAAAGGGGGGGGGGGCCTTCCCAAACCTCTCCCCCACTTTAAATACCAAAATAAGAAATAAAGAAATCCTCTGGGGAGAGACCCCTCCCCCCAATTTCAAAAATATAAAATAAGAAAAAAAATTACATTAAGTGAGCACATACATAAATATCAAAATCTTTTGAATACAGCACCGTAGGTGCAAGTTAACCTGGGGTAACCTCCATAATCTATACACTGTGGAGCACATTGCCGGCCTTACAGCTAAAACCGACATGTCTAAAATCAATTGTCTTTCCTCTACCCTCTCTCTCTCTGAATATTAGTAAACAGTAGCAGCTTAAGCCTTACTAGCTAAGACAAGATATAGTTATGAATTTACTATTGCTGTTAATATATCTTATGTACTATATATATTATCATTTATATTATTTAGGCAGTGTCTACACGTCCGGCGACCAGACAAATAGTGCAGGAGATATTCATCCGGTGGGCATATCATGCTTTAATTAACATTGTCACTTTTTAACCCTTTGTTCATTACATGTGAAAACATAAAATTAAATTGAAGTTAATAGTAAGTTTAAAACACTTTTAGTAATACGTGAAGACACAAAATAACACTATAAAAGTATGTTTACAGTTAATAAATGAATGATTATTATCTAATTGAATATAAAACAAACAAAAACACATTATAAATAGTTGAAGAGCTTTGTAATGTACTGTAAAATATATTTTGAAAGAACATTTTTTTTAAACAATACTAGGATTTGTATTTTAACTTCAACCCTAATATTAATACTATTAAACATACAAAATTTTACAATGAAATAAAAGGAAAATTCTCAATTTGTCACTTATTAAATACTAATAAATTGTACCCCTGTTGCCCCACTCACAAATTCAGCAATTCGCTGAGCTATGATAAAAGCTTTCCTGCTTTTGGCTTGCTGTGACAATGGCTCTATTCCTCATTCTGAATTAGTAGCACAGCAACAATGAGTCACCAAGCTAAGCAGGCTCTCTCCAATCCCGGTTCTGCACGAAATAGCCCAACTTCCAAAGATCCAAAATGAGAGACTCATCAAATAAATTGTCTCCCCTGTTTATTTTAAATCGAAAGATGTGTTTACAGGGCAGACCCATTGAAGAGGGAAAACCATAGCTTCATGCAGTACCAGAGGTTTCATTGGGAATGGAGGTAGCTGATAGTTGACTACTGATATGCTTCATGGCAAACAATGTAACATGGGCTGAATATTCCTTCAGGTCACTGGACATTAAATGAGCTGATGATTTGTGGACTATGTGCATAGCTTGATGCCTGCGTGCATAGCTTAATGCCTGCGTGCATAGCTTGATGCCTGCGTGCATAGCTTGATGTCTGCATGCGTAGCTTAATGCCTGTGTGCGTAGCTTGATGCCTGCCTGCGTACTTTGATGCCTGCGTGCGTAGCTTGATGCCTGCGTACATAGCTTGATGCCTGTGTGCATAGCTTGATGCCTGTGTGCATAGCTTGATGCCTGTGTGCATAGCTTGATGCCTGTGTGCATAGCTTGATGCCTGTGTGCATAGCTTGATGCCTGTGTGCATAGCTTGATGCCTGTGTACATAGCTTGATGCCTCAAGAACTCTAAGTTTGACCATCAAATCTGTAAAGAATGTAATCATCCCTGAATGCTTTGATATTACACTTTTCAATTTTTGGTTGATGCATTCAACACGGTTTGTAGTGCTGTTCAAGAGATTCAAGCTTTGTCTCATTAATCCTTCAACTATTGCATTCTTATGTCATGCCAATTGAATTAAAATAGTCCCTTACCGGTTGCAGTCCAAGTGCCTTGAGACTTTCGTATTGCTTGTCATAATCAAACTCATTAGCAGAGTAAACAAGCTTTTCTATTATTCTAACAAAAGGCTTTGCTCTGTCTTGATCTCCAATTTTTCTGATGTTACTTCTCTGCAAAATGCGCATATTGTGTGGAAAAGACAAATTTGGAGTGCAGCATTGGGAATTTTCTCAGTCATCACGTCTCTCTCCGCCATATCTTTGTCAGCCATGACTGCCTGAGCCCGACTTGTCTCGTTGTGATTATAAAGATATCTGTCAATGCACTTATGGTCTCTCTCTCCACGTTTGCCACAATCCAAAGTACAGCAACCACATTTCCACATTCCCATCTACACACATTAAAATATACAGAGGCATTCGCAAGTTGTTTAGCTGGTATGTTGCATCTAGGAGAAGCAGCTCTGGACAGCATGAAAATACTTTCAACATATCTTTTTGTTGGTAGTAAAGTGCCTGAAGTTGGTTATCCTCACCCACAACAACCTCTATTATAAAACCCTCCTCTTTCTTCATCTCATTCAACTTGTTTAACAGGTCGTTCTCATGATTCAGACATGATTGATAGCATTTATGAATATCTTTCATTGTAATCACTTTTTCTCTTGATTGGATCATGTGTTGCTGTATCATTTTTTTGTTAGCCTTTAGATCTAGCATCTGGGCAACAGCATCCTTTTCCTGTTCACCCAGTCGATTCCTGCAACACAACATTTATTTCTCATGTTATGATAAAATTTGTGGAGATCAGTCAAAGTATTTGCCTATTTACTGATAAAAACAGTCCCTGATTTGAGTTCTTACATTATTTTGTTGAAATTGCAAGTACAATAATTACATTTGCAACACAATGAGAGTGGTCTTCATTTAAAGAAATAATTTGAAGTTTCTGCCTATCCTCACTAAGTCGAAACTTCATACATCCTTTGCAGTCCATCCTGAATGTACTGATAAGTCGAATAAACAGTCGTATGCTCTATTTTCAACACACTTACTTAAACCATTCTACACGTAAATCAGAATCTGTTATATTACTTATATAATTTAATTTTTAAAAATTACTATAACTTTGCTTTACTCTGCCGATGGCAGTTGATTTAAACCTTTTCCCGCATTGAATACAATAGAAATCTATTTCCCCACATTTTAAACTTAAACAGTCCGGAATTTCAAGACAAGCCTTGGAAGGAAAATATTTTTTAAAACAAGCAATGGTTCTAGCACTTCTTTTGTAGAATTGAACATATTTATTTTACATGTAAATGTCCAGACTATCTTGAATTCGTTGAGATCAAGTAAACTCATCGCCCACATGCAGCTCCATTAGTCATTAGCGGTCACGTGACAAGGCTGACGCCGGAAAAATATCTCCAGCAACTTTGTTACTGCTGTCATGAGAGTCTCATGATGAAACTTGGTCACCGGACATTTAGACACTTCGTATTAATTGTTATTAAATTTAAATAATTTAAATTATTACCGAAAATTTCTCTGGTGTCAAATTTATCTGTAAAAATGTCATCTTCTTCTTCAGGTAAAACATTTCTTTCTTTTGTTGCCAGAAAAACTATGGGATTAGCATTGTCTAAGTTGCCCATTTAGTATGGTTATTTATGCTGCTGTGATATGGTGATATTTTTTAAATTTTCAGCAGGTATATTTCGTAGAGTAATAGTGTTGTTGTACATGTACCTGTTGTGGACTTGTGGTGTAAAAAAAAATATATATAATAATAATAGTAAGTAGCTCTTTCTTGTGGAAATCACAAAGCTCGGCTTCCGGAATCCAAACTTTTTCTTTTACTTTTAACTTTATTGAATTCGAATTTCATTAATTCATTAATTATCGTAAAAGTTTGGACCTAATTAAAAGTTTCGTTGCAATAATTTTATAAGTTAATGTGAATTTTAAATTTTTAAAATTGATTTGATAATTTATATTATCAGTCGTGGAACCGTGGGATTCAGTCGGTTCGTCGAACCCCCTTTTCTTTTGTTGTTAACTAACAATACTAACATTGACATTGTCACATTAGTCACATTGTTATGAAAAAATTTTTTTTTTGTATATTCAAAATGTGTTACTAACAGTAGTAGTAGTAGCCTAACACTAACACCACTAAAGTTTTTGCCATTTTTTACAAATATATAATATATTTTATCTACAATTTTATGAGTATTAATCGCATGTTGTTCATTTACACCATCATCAGTTCATTTACACCAGTATTGTTAGACATGTGCAGTATTTGAATTTGACAATCAGCTATGGTCGTCTTGCTTTCAGTATTAAAAATATATATTCAGAACAAGAAAGGGTCTATTATTTAGCAATTTCCTGTAAACTAAATACTAAATAGAGTAGATGGAGGCGTAGAACTAAGACATAAAATATCATATATGCACGTATCTTTTACTTTTAGTCTGATTTTCTTTTGTTTAGTATTCTTGTTGTGCTGGAATAGGTCCGGTCGAATCGGTTGTTAAATGTTGACATTTCTACCGAATCTGTGAATCTGTTGTTAAAAAATGTCAAAATAATAAAACACTATACTATAGCTATAGTACTTCATCAATACATTAACATTTTGTTTCCTGTAACGGGAAAGTAAAGGCAAAGACTTATTGATAAAAGAGAAAGGGGCTATGTTGGAAAGTTTCTGTTGCAGGAACATAAGTCAACCATGTAAATATATGAAATTAACAACAGCTGTCTGTAAGGGGTCGTTTGCAAATTACGTCACGCTCAGGGGATGGGGGAGGGGGTCGAGAATGTGTGATACTTTGTGACGGAGGGAGGGGAGAGTCAAACATGTGTGACGTCACACATTTTTAATTATTTTTTAAATCTAAAATTCTCTAATTTTGAAAAATCTTTTTTCAATTAATTTTAAAAACATTAATATCGAAAAATGACGCAAAAACTATTGTGGCCATTTTACATTCTCTCGGGGAGGACTTCGTCATTTTACGTCACAGTTTTCTAATAATAGTACATCTTTTTTCTTAATCCATTATGGAAAAATGTAAAAGTATAAAATATAATCTTAGTTTATTATGAAAATTTTATGTATGTTTTGAATTTTTTTTAGGTGTGACGTGACACTGAGAAGGGGGGGGGGTGGGGGTGTAAAGAATTTGTGACACTTTGTGACAGGGAGAGGGGGGGGGGTCTGAAAAGACATTTTTTGCGTGGCGTAATTTGCGAACGACCCCTACAGTGTAAATAACGGCGGGACCAACAATGCAGTCTCTAACGTGCGTCTTTTACCCGAGGCCTTGTGAAGGAGGCGGAATGACAGAAAATCATATTTATTTATTTTTATTATTTTTTGGGGGAGTGGGCCGGGGGCTGATTTTTAAATACATTATTTATAGGCCCTACATATATTGAGTAGTTTAAAATAATAAATATTTTACAATAATTTTAAAAAAAAGTATCAAACATCATAACTATTTGGTTATAACCAAAAAATAAAAGATCAGTAAAATCCAATACAAATTTCCACTACTAGCATGTCCATTGTTGATTTCAAATTATCAGGTTACATGTAGAATGCTGAGAAAAAAAAAATTGATCTATGCGTCAAAATACATCTCAGCATTTTGAATTCATCAAAGGGTTTCTGTGTGGGGGTTTCTTTAGAACCAATGTACCAACTTTCACTCGATTCCCCCCGACCCATGTCCCTACTTTTAGCACGTTCGCTCTCACTAGCGTCCACCATGGCTACGCTACCTGGTATAGGTCTATACTAAACTATGCAATGGCCAAATGTACACAACATGCCCAATGTTCATTTACAAGACTTAGATTAGAAGCAAATCTGGCATGTGTCATTTCCGGCAATCGTCCTGATTTTAGAAACTTAAAATGGTTGTAGACATATTCTAATTATCTACGTCACACTAGTCACATCTTGCACTTGTAATTTGGGAGAAACCTTAGGACATCATTGATGTTATACTATTTATTGGTGAACTGCAGCTTGTGTTGCGTGGCAGTTCCTAGCGCATTGGTGAAAAAGACAATGGGCATTTTCCGGGAGTCATAGAGTAGGTGTCCCATTGGAATCTAATTCTAGAATATCATGTGTTGAGCGTTAAAGAGTCACACAAAACGGGAGAACGACTTCATTGACATTATCTCCGTGCAGAGTCCTAAATCGAGTTAATCGGGTTCCTCACTTTTAAATCAACACATATTGTAGAATAGGAACATGTTTTTAAAAAAAAATCATTATGTAATACCATACAGTTACTCGACATAAGCCATACAATACGAAATGACATAGCTTATATGATAGTAGAAAAATTGAAAGAACACGATATTCCAATGTCAGATTGTCATGCACAGGGAAATGACAATGCAGCTAAGATGGCAGGAAAATTTTTTAGTGCGATATCAAGAATAATTAAGCAATGTGAAACAGCTTTATTTTCACTATGTAGATGTCACACACTTAATTTGTGTGGGAATGATGCTGCAGACTGCATTCCTGAGGCCATAACGTACTTTGGAAATGGGCAAACTGTTAACATCTTTCTAGTCCACCGCGATGGGAAATCTTGCATAATTTTATTGGCTGTTCTCTTCACAGCATTTATAACACACGCTGGCCAGACCGTGTTGAAATTATAAAGCTCTTTGTAACCACCTTGCCAGGCATCAAATTAGCATGAAAAACCCCGTGTAGTTCAATCTAACTACCAAAACAAGAACAGAGGTGTGAATGGAGTTTTGTCTTAGGTCACATCCCTCCTTTGCTTGGTCATGTCTGCTGTATGGTACAGAGTATTATTTCCAGTTGATATCTATTTTTTAAAAGTTATTCATTTCAGAAATACAACGCTATAAGACGTCAAAGTGTCCAACTTAGTGATAGTAAATGAAGGACTGCGTTCAATCAAAGTGTCCAACTTAGTGATAGTAAATGAAGGACTGCGTTCAATCTAAGTGTCCAACTTAGTGATAGTAAATGAAGGACTGCGTTCAATCTAAGTGTCCAACTTAGTGATAGTAAATGAAGGACTGCGTTCAATCTAAGTGTCCAACTTAGTGATAGTAAATGAAGGACTGCGTTCAATCTAAGTGTCCAACTTAGTGATAGTAAATGAAGGACTGCGTTCAATCTAAGTGTCCAACTTAGTGATAGTAAATGAAGGACTGCGTTCAATCTAAGTGTCCAACTTAGTGATAGTAAATGAAGGACTGCGTTCAATCTAAGTGTCCAACTTAGTGATAGTAAATGAAGGACTGCGTTCAATCTAAGTGTCCAACTTAGTGATAGTAAATGAAGGACTGCGTTCAATCTAAGTGTCCAACTTAAAAAGCTTGGTTTTAAAACTGAAAAGTCTTCGCAACAGCTAAAAAAGCATGTGAAGCGAAGCAAATTGCTACTAATTTGTGCGTAGAAGTGAACTCTATGGAACTCATGAAACAAAACGCTAAGGAAAGAGGTTCCATGATGAATGTGCTATAGAAGAAGGGGCTATACAGAAGAAGCAGACTTGTCTAAACAAAATAAAATGGAGGAATCCCTTGAGGAAGCATACTTTAGAAAGTCTACTATGTTATTTTAGACAATGTTATTGGTGGACTCACTGTTTGTTTTAATGCTGCATTGAACAATTCTCAGAGGTTCAATTTCCTATTTAAGTACCTATCCATTCCTCAAGACTCAAGATGAACTGAAAGTAGATCAATATCCCGCTGAAAGTAGATCAATATCCCGCTGATTTTTTTGTAATGGAGATTGCTTCATTACTTATATATTAGCTTTCAGCATTGTTTATTTACTATTGTGTATTGTTGTTTTTATTATCGTAAACAGAAGTAGCTATACTATTTTAATATATTTGCATGTACATGCATTTTTGACTGCAATTAATAAATTATGACATTATTGATTTATGTGTCCATGGGGAGGTGAAGTGGGGGGAGGGGGTCAATTTTGACTCTTGTTGGAGCACTTAGTAATCTTCTTGACGGCCCGGGAGGGGGGGGGGTGTCCACAATTTTATAAAGAACTATTATTCTGAGGGAGTCTAAATTATGTGACAAATTCGTTACGATTTCGGGAAGTGGGGTGGGGGTGGGTATCCAAATTCGGCGAAAAAGCGTGACGTCATTTCTGTATGGCCCCTAAATTAAATACAGTGGACACAAACTCTTCATCCATGTTAAGATTCGTCTTTAAATTTGTCTTTATGTTTTTCGTTATTTGGGGTGTTTGGTGTTGTGTTCGATGTTGTGTTCGGTGTTGTGTTTGGTGTTGTATTGGTGTTGTGTTTGGTGTTGTGTTTGGTGTTGTGTTCGGTGTTGTGTTTGGTGTTGTGTTTGTTGTTGTGTTTGTTGTTGTGTGTGTTGTTGTGTTTGGTGTTGGGTTTGGTGTTGGGTTTAGTGTTGTGTTGGGTTTGGTGTTGTGTTTGGTGTTGTGTTTGGTGTTGTGTTTGGTGTTGGGTTTGGTGTTGTGTTTGGTGTTGTGTTTGGTTTTAGTGTGGTGTTTGGTGTTTTGTTTGGTGTTGTGTTTGGTGTTGGTTTTGGTGTTGTTTTGGTGTTGTGTTTGGTGTTGTGTTTGGTTTTTGTGTTGTGTTTGGTGTTGGGTTTGGTGTTGTGTTTGGTGTTGGTTTTGGTGTTGTGTTTGGTGTTGGTTTTGGTGTTGCGTTTGGTGTTGTGTTTGGTTTTGGTGTTGTGTTTGGTTTTGGTGTTGTGTTTGGTTTTGTGTTTGGTGTT